GTTTGCTGAGACAATGCAGAGCACATCCCTCTGTGTACCTCCATCTCTGCAGGTTATTTGAAACACTCAAGACAAATCAAACACCTGAGAAAAACCCTTTCAAAAGTTAGAATGAAAATAGACTTTTGGTTGGATTGATTCCTGAGAAAAGGACTGCAGGAGCTCTACAGAGTTTACTTTGTTAAATTTACATGTATGGGGCGCTGGTGGCGCAGTGGTTAGAGCGCGCGCCCCATGTATGGAGGCTGTAGTCCTCCAGGTGGGCGGCCCGGGTTTGAATCCGACCTGTGGCTCCTATCCCTCATGGTATTCCCTACTCTCTCTCCCTGATTTCAGACTCTATCCACTGTCCTATCTCTCTAATAAAGGCACAAAATGCCCAAAAAATAATAAAACAAATGTACATGTATAAGACATTTAAACTGAAACCAAACAGTGTTTCTTAAGTTGTGTTAGATGCATCACTTGGTTTTCTTTTTGAGAATCATTAAATAAATAAAAAATGCATTAATCTATAAATGAAAACGTGCAAAAACATGAACTTAAAGGAAGAATATGTGACATTTTACACATAAATAAAGCAGAAATCCATGACTGAGAAGCGCGAGTGCTTCCAGCTGTCCTGTAGTCGGAGCCGTGTTTACATCGTGTTTACATGGACGGGACGGCCTTGTGTATAAAAGCTGTTTTAGTCGAGGACTACAGAAAAGAAGAAGAACATGCTCACTGCTTATTTTGATGTCACTTAAGTGTTTTAAGATCTCGGTCATTCTGTGTCAATTTATGAAGCTACGAGTTAACCGAAGTGTGCTAACATTAGCCTGCGAACACAACAATGCAGAACGCAGGCGATTTTGTCCGTTCATTATGTTGCGTTCTCATTGATAACTCCTTTGTGTGAACGCGAGTTGAGAGGGGTTGGAGGTGTGTCGCTGGAGGAGAGCGGAGGTGTATCCAAACAGCAGTTTGGTTTGGTTTCATGCTGGTGCTCAAAGGCGACATCTACTGGATCAAAAAGTCGCACATACTTCCTTTAAAGTTAAAGACACTCAAAAAATGTGAAGCATTCAATACAAAATGTCCCTTCAAATACACTGAATCTTTTGAAGGCCGCCCGAATAGAGGACAAATATAATTTAAGGGATGACATTTGAGTGAAAATCTAAATTTTAAGTGAGTTGTACAAACAGAGGGCTTCGAAGAGCGTTAATTTGTGTTTACATATTTGATTTGAAGTGTTTTGGAAGCTTAAGAAGGTATATCCTCTTGGAAAGGTTCAGAAAATGTTTCTCTTCTTTGATGTCTTGTTTGCAGAGTATCAAGCTGTACAAACAACAATGAAATGTTTTTTTTTTGTTTTTTTTTACCTACAGTAGAAAGGTGATTATGTTAGTTTTTATGGTGAGCATTTAAGCAGGGACAAAATGCCGTCTGCTACGGTGAGCTACAACAGGAAATGTTCAAGACATAAAACCGAAACAATCAGCTGAAAGATGCTAAAACACTCATTTCAAACTGAAAGGAAAGTTTGTTTCAGGTGATGGATGTCTGAACATGTTGGCTTTAGTTTAGTTTGACATAATTGATTGCCTCGTGTGAGTGCGCCCTTAACTCACTAATCCCAAAGCCAACCATCCACAATATCAGACTCCTTCAGGGAAACTATCGCCAGTTCAACAAGATATCTTCAGAATTATTTTAATCCTGAGGCAGGTTGACCTAAAAGAGGAAGACTAAAATAAAGTTGTTGGGGAAAAGATGTCCTCCGTCTGTATATTTTTGCTGTTTCAGAATCCAAGGAGAGGTCACTGCCAAGACTTGTTTTTTGTTGCTTCTGGGATCTCTACTTAAAAACCAGGGTATTCCATGTAGTGCTTTTCTAAGGGCATAGGAGATCAAATACTTCCAGCAGAGGTACAAAGCTTTCTATGGGTTTGAACTCTTCTCAGGGGAGAGGGGTTTATTTGAAATGATAAAAATATCAAAGATTGAGGTGTGAGGAGAGCAGCGAGAAGAACAAGACTCAGACAGGAGAGAGGGAGTTTCTTGACAGTGCCTGGACTTTTAAAAACACAACTTTACAACATTCAGAACAGAATGATTGTTTTTGGGAAAGCAAATAATTTGTTCAGCATTTTGGAGAGTTTAAATTATTACCTGATTGTGATTGGACGGGAAAACATTACTTTTGTTTTTGCTAAAAACGGGGGCACACTGATGTAATGGGTGGTGAAACATTAGCTTGGATGCACTCAAATTGGCTGCTCGAAAATAATTAGAATTACTAATAAGATGCATTAGCTTAATGTTCCACATTGGAAAAACTTTTGGTGGAATTGATTCAACTGACAGTTGTGTTCAGAAAACCAAACTGAAGACTGGAAAGTGAGATTCTGAACAGCTGTTAAAGTAATCATTCATATTGATTTAAGGTGCATCCTAAATCAACCCCGTATCTCCTCTTTATTTTTCCTAGGAATAGAAGCCATCAAACTAAATCCAAGAGGTGGTAATATTAATTTTATCAGGAAAAAAATGAAGCATTTTGGATTTTTTATTTTTAAAGTTTATTTCCAGGGGGATGAATCAATGACTTCCTATAATGTTTTTATGCTTTACATTTCTACAAGTACAAATTTGTTTTGCTACAGACGTCTCGCAAAATGTGTTGCAAAACTCGAGCAGTGCAGATTCACGCGAGAAAAGTAGTTTGTGCAGTTGTAGCGGCAGATTCGAGAATTTGTAACCGCAGAGTTGTGGTTGTAAAGGATAATAGGCACGAGTGATAAAAAAACATGTGAGTAAATGTTGTAAATATCAGTCTACACATTTGTGAATATTTCTTCTGTGACTTCACATTCAGATCACGCATGTGTGAATATTTTCTTTGGGTTCAAATTTTAACTCTACACATTAACATTTTTTTCCCCCCATTTGTGACATGAAATTGATTTCACATGTGTGTGGATTTTTTATACAAGTAAAAATTTTTACATACAAGTTCACTTTTTTTTCCTTCAAGTTCTCACATCACATTCTACAAGCTCTCCTATTTTGCAACATATCTACCTTCATAATAGTCCCGCCCGGCTGGAGAAACGATCGCGTCTGACCTCTCCTCCAGCTGACTCCCAGGAGAGGAAGTACCCTGAGACAACCAGGACTCAAATACCTGCGGAGGAAAGCGATGAAGAGGATGACGACGATGTCATATATCCCGCCTGGCTGGATACTCCTCCTCTGAGTGGCACCTATGACGAGAGCCACTCTGATCTTAGGGACAGCGGGTCTCTTTTCTTGGATGATGCCTCAAGACAGGAGCCTTTGCCTCCAAGTCAACTTCCAGTGAAGGAAGCGCATCTAAATAGCGACGCCAATGAAGACATGAACAACACAGAGGAATTGGACATAACATTTCATTTGAATTGTGTTATGCCCCACCAGAAGGTGGCCCTATGGGGCTAACAACAATCCACCAATTAACCCAGTAAAATACCTTAAAATTAACAGACAGACTAAATTCTTAAACAAAGGGGCAGTCCCAACTCCAAATGCCTCTCTCTTGATGACAGGTGTACCTTGTTAGGTAAGCAGTAGTTTCACCTGGGCAGAGCGGAGAGCAACAGGAAGGGGAGAAGGTACAAACAGCAGAGGGAAACATAAAGCCGTAACAATTACATATGCATGTTTCTCTGTTAAACCTAAATAAAGCATAACATGAAAATAACTAAATGCTTGTTTGTTTGTACTCTTGGGTTTGTGCACATTAAAATAAATATGACCAATAAAAAAAACAAAATAAAACAAGAATGAGATGCATGTCATAATACTCAATGTGTGCACTAATGCAGAGATGAAGAAACTTCACAGACATGTTTTGAGGAGCTCTGACATTTATTTGAACTGGTTGAAAAGCAGGAGAATATGTGACCTTTAATGATCCTATCGATTACAAATACTTTTCTTGTCACAAGAAACTTGATAAATTCTTCCTTAACAAGGCCAAAAGTGAGATTACAAGATTTATATATTGTCTTATCAGTTTCATAAATATGTGATAAGTCGAGACCTTTATTCCAGATGTGGTATCTCTTGGCTGAGCACCAAGAGCTGTGATGGGGAAACGGCTTGCATGGCTTCTCTTTGTTAAAATGTAATTTCCCTGACATCATACAGTTATAGTTCTTTCCGACTCAAATAAACTGTTCGAAACATTTTTAAGACTCCTCGTTGCAATCAGCATGTCTGCACAAAGCTCAATTATGGCAATTGGCGATAGAGATAATTTTTTAACACTTTATCTCCACCATTCAACACGCACAGCTGTTTGCTTCATGTGGTTGCCATGATGGCTGTTTGGAACGAGCAATAAAAATAAAAAAACGGAGCTGAAGGGTAAAATAACAAAATCCAAACAAAGTGTCCAACTGGTGCACATGTGGCATTAAGTTAGTGAGTCCTTAATGTCACAGCGTGCTCTGACAATATGTAAAAGTTCAAATAGCGCTCAGTTCAATTGGCCCTGGAAGCTAAGTGCCGCGCTCTGCTGGTGAGCTGCTGGTAATTGATCTGGCAGCACCACTAACCATCTGGGCTCCAGTCTCCTCAAACACAGCCGAAGAGACTCAGCCTGCACTCACTCAGATCTGTTTGGACGGGCTGGATGGATCTGCACGGCCGCTGGGCACAGAACAAGGCTGAAGGCTGCATTTCTAAAGGAAGCTACGCCTTCCTGTGTCAACACTGTACTAAAGAACTAACATGGTTATCAACTAGTGCCTCTGTAAACTATGTTCTTATCGTAGATGGGCCGAGTGAAGCCAAAAGAGTTAGAGCTCCCCCTGCTGGCTGGCTGCAGTAGAGTTCATAAACCCCGCCTCCCCAAATGTTAACAGGTCATGGGGTCAAGCTATAAAATCAAAGTGAAAGTTAGATAAAAAAAAATGTCAAACTTGGTTCTTTCATGATAGATATTATCATGCATGCATGTGTATATACTGTATAGTGTTACGTACTGGATTATACTGATAGCTTAGGAGAGCGGGAGAGGCAGAGCGATGCTCTTCCTGTTTAGCCAGTGTTTCTTTTTCCCTTCCCTCGGACTGTGTCTTCGACCGCCGTCTTCAGTTCCAGCGGAAGTGGATCTGACGCGGGCGGTCGGCTCCCTCTTTGACCAGCGGCTTGTGAAACTCTCGTCCGGCGCGGGAGTGGATGTTGGCCCAGCAGAACTCGCAGTAGTACTGCAGACAGGTGACGTTAGCGCAGAAGAAGGGAGCAAACTTCCCCCCGCAGCGTGCACCCTGACATTCGTCACACAGCTGATCATCCAGGACGTAGGGCTTCACCTCCACCTGCACACACACACACACACACACACACACACACACACACACACACACACACACCACACACACACACACACACACACACACACACCAACACACACACACACACACACACACACACACACACACACACACACACACACACAGAGTGAACACATGAATGAATACATACAGTAACAAAAGATGAATGTGTGTGTGTTCATGAAAGGCTGATTGCAGCACGGACTGAGAGGAAAGCTGATTCAATCAGCCCTAATAAAATTTCAATCGCCATGGCAACAAGCTGCTTTGTCCGTGGTGATGCTGATAGCACAGACACACACACACACACACACACACCTTTTTTGCAATTTAAGATGTCCTTTCAACAATTTCTATGGGGACATTAAGGACTGGGAACATGATGTTGCTGAAAACAGAAACCTTCCTTTGTCGTTCTAAATGCTCTTGGAAGTTTGCTTCATCAACACTAAAAAGACAACGACTTCTACAGTGACCTTCTCTTTTCACCCATTTTCTCTCCTAGAATCGGCCGCTGCTGCCGTTTGTGTCCTGAGTCATCTTTACTCTTTCCAATTTCTCTTCATTAGTTTTTTAAGGATTAACTTTGAAAAATGTGTTGTTAAGTTCAACACATTTAAGCAGCATCTGTATTATTTCACTTCCCTCTGACCTCAGACATTGGGAGAGAGTCAAAGAGCCAGGGTCCTAGAACGGTCCTACAACCTACAACCATTTTTTTCTCACAGCTTTTTATTCATTATTATTGTTGTGTGAAAAGTCCTCATCCAGTACTGTCCTTAAATAATTATCTATCCATCTTCAAAATGTAGTTTACATTCTCCAGCCTAACATGTCTCACCAAGCATAACAAAGATCTGAGCTGCTATTGGAGCATTTTAAACAGGTGAAACAAAGGGAAGGTCATTGATGTAAATGACACATCCTTCTAAACTTTAAGTCATATACTCAACATATACGTATAACAGTGAACTTGAGTTATGTAAATGAAGGGGAAGGCTGTACCCGCTTGTCAATGTCTCCGTGCTGCAGCTGGACGAATCTGGCGCTGATGGCAGCGATGTAACTCTGCTGATTGGAGAAGGCCACTCGCCCCGCCCCCTTGGGATACTTCAGTTCTGGATCTGTGTCAATTCCTGCGTAGCACACTCCACCATACAGACGATCCATAATCATGGCCAGCTCAACTGCAAAGAGGGTTCAAATACATTTTGATGAGTGACAGGACAAAGAACCAGGAGCAGAAGGAAGTGACACTAAGGAAGAAAAGTGTTTGAGGTCTGAATAAATAGTTCATTCATCAAATAGCCGGAAGAAAAATAAAGTTGGTGTAATTACTTGCTCTCAGGGGGCGAGGGACGCCTCCCACAAAGATAGTTTTGCGGGGATCAAGGGGCTGAGATCCGTCCATCACAAAGTCACTGTCGCTCAGGTTCCAGGGTCGGATTTGCACCTGGAGTCAGAGACAAATTCAGCTCTAAAATCCACTTCTTTTCTTGTTTAATAATCATAATAATACATTTAATAATCACAGTTACATGACAGCACTAAGCTGATAAACTCACAGGTTTATCCTTGATGGTGGGACTGGAGACACACAGGTAGAGCTTCCCGTCCTCCTCCATGCAGGCTTCAATCAGAGCCTGCACAGACGTCTCCTCCTGGAACAGCAGGAACGCATAGCCTGGAAAAACAGACACATATCCACATGTCAGTGTCCAGGGCCTGATTTAAAAAGATTCTGAATGGTACAAAAAGTTTAGGAAATTCTCCTTTGAATGGATTGATTAATATTACATTTTCATGTCTTCAGACACATTAGTTAAAAATCAATTATATGTTCGTTTAGCCAATATCCAAACAGCACCATTAACATGAACCACCCTCTCCCTCAAAAAAAAAACAAAAATAGAATAAATAATTACACTTGAAGAGGCACAATACACATATATGAATTAACAAAATAAATAAATTGATTTCATCACTTCCAAACAGTTTCCATTAGATTCAGTTCATAATAAATAGAGTTTGAGTAATGTGTTGTGAGTTACTCTATTCAGACAAAGTAAACGTTATCAAAGAGAGGACTGTTCTCCATATGAATCAGGTCTAAGTCAGGAACATGAACTTTTTTAAACATGATTTTTCCTACATGGTCATACAGAGGACACGTTCCACTTCATTCAGCTCACAGTATTCACATATTCTTTCATCCTCAGACACACCTTTATATCCCCCTGCTTCAATACAGTATGTAGTGGTAATATATAATTCACCTCTCAACTATGAACTGTTTAAGCAGGCAGACACAAAGCGGGCTGTAATGACTGTACTACCCTGTAAAGTGTTTTTAATTTTGCCACTGACAGGATCTGACTTTTGATCTAAATGTCAAACATTAACAGATGCAGTTCCTTCAAATATAGACCCTTGATTTGAGGTAAAAGGTAATTTTTTTTAAACAAACAACTGATACTTCTGGCTCTTTAAGGCCTCCAGACTTAATTGACATAACAATAATTATACCTTGAAGAACACAGGGGTTGCTGACAAACTGCTGCTTGAATCTGTTAGCTTTTATGCTTCTCTTCGTTACAAATATTGTGTTGCATCCAGACTGAAAATTCATAACATCCAAGGTCAGTAGTCACTCAAGAAGCTGACTCAAGTCTGGTGTTCTGTGCTGTGATTGTTTTTGTCAATGGAGTCAGGTTACTTTGAATAGATCTTTAAAGTGTATTTCTGACTGAACAAAAAGGATTTTGCCTTATAAACAAATTCTGCCTCTCTAAGCATCATCATCATTACTTGTTAGCATTTGAGCTTCACAGCGTCTAAGCTCATTCTAAATGAAGATATAAATCATGAAGTCTGGCTGCTTTTGACATTACCTTTGGGTGGAAAGTAGGATTTGCTCTCTGCTTTATGAGGCCAGTCCACCACCAGGTGACCGAAGCGACGAAAGCTTGAGGTTATTTCATCTGAGGAGGAAGTGCAAACAAAAAGACAGATGATGAAAAAGTGAGGAGATTTCAAGAATAGAAGAAGCAAAGGACTCACGGAGTAATGCAACACAGTGTGAAAGTGTTTGTATTAGTCCTCACCTTCATCTATGTCAGGGGGCAAACCTCCCACAAACACCTTACGAGAGAAGCGCTCGATGCGCTCCCCATTTTGGTGGGGTAACAGTTCGGGGAGCCAAGGACTCCTGGGACACCCTGGTTGCCGTGGCCGTCGTCGAGGAGATGGTCATCGATGGGGAAGAGCGAGGAGCGGCCTGATGGAGGGCAAAGAAAGAGGGTTAAGACTTCAACCAATACCAGGCTTTCACACAATCAAATACAACACACATCACAGACATATCTACAGCAGTCACATCACTCATCTGTCTCGTTCTTTATGGATTTGTAAATAACTGCGATAACAAAGGACACAACCAGAGGACAGCCATGTTTTTAACTTTTATGACAGTTTTACACGGAGTGACTGTGAGACAAAGAAGCAGATTAAAGTGAGGGGGAAGCAAGCGTAAAGGGTACAGGCTGTGTGGAAGAAAGCTGTTAAAAACATTGCTCAGCATTATGAAGTGTACAAAATGAAAAAAAGTCAAACAAAGAAATAGATTAATATTCAAAATACTCTTCAACAGTTTAGTACATTTTTATTCTACTTATGTAACTCACTTGTTTTTTTATTTATTAGTTAAGATCTTAGTTCTTATTGGTTGATTCAGAATGACATGAGCATTTTTACCTCTACAGCACCATAACTAAGCTCCAGTCTCATGAGGTCTAGTATGAGGGCTGGGAATCTTTGGGTGTCTCACGATTCGATTTCGATTCTTGGGGTCAAAATTCGATTCAGAATCAATTTTCCATTCAAAACAATTCATGGATTCAGAGTCTATTTATGAATTAGTACATACTTCAGGATCTACTGCAATCATCTGTGAGACTGGCTGAGTTTCTTGTTGCTCTATTTGGCATTCTACTGATTTAAAGAGCTAGCCTTGGCACTTAGCAGGAAGGAAAAAACGATTTTTGGAAGTTATGAATCGATTTTAAATCTTTGAAGAGATGAATCTCGATTTTTACATAAATTGATTTTTTTTCCCACCTCAATCTAGTACTATTTTTTTCTTTAGCTAAAGAAGCCCAGTGGAAAGTTGTTTATCGTGATTATATGACATGGCTATATGACTGGGTGTGGTTATGTATCAACACACATTCAACGTCATTCTGATGACAGACTAGCGGTCACTGTCACAACAATCTCATTAAACAACAATATACCGACTCTTGATCGTATTTTCCAACACTTTATCAATGTTACGTCAAAAAGGCCCCATAGGACAATAAAGCAACTCGTTGTTTGCAACTTTTTCTCTTTACTCCCTTGTGATCTTGTAGTTCTCTTGTGGTGTGTGTGCAGCTGATCATGGCTGCGCTCCGGTTCAGGAGCTGACATAACGCAGAGCACACGTATTATGTGGAAATTGGCCATTACTTCATCGCTGTTTTCACACATGCACTCCTGGAAATATGTAAAGAATTTTAGGAGGACTTCTGAAATTCTCCTGACCTGTACCTGAAAGCTGGAGACGATGAGCCTGCATAAACCTTTGAAGAAATACACCTTTTACCATGAAATCAACTTTACTGATTTATAGTCAGAGGGTTCCTCACACTCACATAGAGTTATCCATAAACAAACAAACGAAAACGGGATATATCTACAAGATTTTCACTGTTAAAGGACAATGAGGGGTGGAAAGTGAAACAGTTCATCGGTACATGCTCGAATAATGTAGAATAACTAAATAATGATGAATCACAACACAGCATGTCCTGAATTTGAAGGTGTTAAAGATTTCTACTTCTACTCTAAAAGTAATAAACAAAGAAACACTCAGGGTCAATAAGAAATAAGAAAAGGTGATAAGAAATACAAATGTTGTATTACGTGTCACATATAAGACAGCAGGGTATCAGGTTCTTGAAAACGAAAGTGAAAATTGAAAAATTGTGGCCCCTCTGCTGGTGTTGTGGATCTGTTTTCTCACAAACACCAGCCTCTCTGCATGCAGCTGATCTCATGCACAGCAGCACCACCATATGGCCCGTCCTGCAGCCAGCCGTCTCTCCATGCAGCCGGGAGAGAGGCGAGGAGCTGGGAGGAAAGGCGAGGAGCGGAGTCTGAAGGCCTGCTGATCCTCGCCCACCTCTCACTGTTCCTGATTCAATTAATCAAAGGCGTGATTAGGCTAACGCTGACTCCCTCAGGTGATGATGAATGTGCTGCAGGAGAAGCTGAGCTGGTAAACTCTGCGTACTGTTAGTGTGGCTGCAGAGGAAGAGGGGGGCAAGGTTAGACGGCTGATGGAAGGTGTGTGAGATGACGAAGAGAACCCATCTTTGCAGATACAAACGCTTTGTCTGCGTTCAAAACATTAAGATCTCGTTTCATCTCTTGCAAAGTCTTGCACATTTATTAATCCTCTTTTTGGTGAGAAATGCTTGATATGAAACATCCCGTTGACTTAAAAATAATTTAGAAAAATAGTTAAATAAAAGTAAAGTTAGGATATCCAGTGAAACATTCAAAGAAAAACTCGATGAGTAACTTTCACACTTGATGTGTTTTGAATGTGAAAGACTGATAAACATTTATTAACATGAGGAAAGAGTCACAGTTTAGTTCAGGTCCTAGAACTTCTTTGGTTGAGGATAAGATCATGGTTTAGGTTTAATTAAGTATAAGAATGTGCACTTCATTAAAAACCATCTTGGGGGGAAGTCAATGAGGATGGGTTGGTGCTGCTTACAGGTCCATGAATTGCACATCAATTGCCCCGCTACCTGCTCCATCTCGAGGTCCGATTCTTTAAGTGCATTGCACTAATGTGTTCAAGCACAAACATGACCATACAGTTGTTTCCTTTTCGATGCAGCCTGGTCTCATTTTGTGCCGAATAATTGGGATCAAAACCTGGTTCTATGAAGGACCTGGCTCCGCATTTTTTAAAACCTGAAAATCAGGTTTGCGCTTATGCTATTGAGTCTCATGGGTCCTATAATGTAATGTTGTATCTGGGTTTTGGTCGTGTTAATTTAATGAAATCACTGAAGCACAAAGGTCGATATTGTCTTAAACTGAGATCAATTAAAATACACAAAGAAGAACTCTGGTGGTCTAAATGTGCAAAGAGGTTTAAAGTCTTGTTAAATTTTACTAAAGAAAAGATGAGGAGAAAGCAATTTATGTTGTAAAAGCATTTCTTGCAAGGGAACGGGCATAACCTCAAAAAAAAAGAAAGAAAAAAAATGGTGAGAAATTAGATTCAATTGAGCTATTTAGAGGAGATTTTTTTGATCCCCCAGCAAAGTAAAATAGGAATTTCAGATAGAATCACGACCAGTTCAAATAACGAGTCGTCGTAACACAAAACATTAGACAACAGCGCACAGATGCTGTTTGCTCTGTAGGGCAGTTAGGGGTGCATTAAAATCTTATTTTAGGGAATTAAGCGATGTCTTGTTTCGTTTTCATGGGGAGGAATTGGTGATAGTTTTTTTGAATACTCAATGAAGACAAAAAGAAAAACACTATTGTTGAAGTCGTGGAGAAACCGTGAACATGTAAGAGCTCGAGCTGAAGGAGAGGAAAATGTCTGCTGTTGTTGCACATCCTTTTTGCTTGCTTCCCAATGGGCTATCATTTAATTCACTCGACAATCCACAGAGTGCATGCTCAGCCATCCTCTAGGTTGCACTACACACAAAAGGATATCGTAAATCTTTAATATGACACATTATTAATACGTAAAACATGAAATCAGTGCAGCCCCGATGTTCTTTCAAGCCGATTGTATCACTCTTAACTAGGGATAGAACGGTATCGTTTATTCACAATATACAGTAGAGAGAGCTAAAGTGTCTCAATATTGTTGTGGACCAGAGCAGAAGGGAAGGGGGAACTACAGAGACCATCATCCTTTGAGCTCTCCTCACTCACTCAGTTCAGCGAAAAATGGCGGACGCCGGTATTAGTGGTGAGGGACGACAGAGAGACATATTTTAAATTGAGGGTGCTCCAGCAGCTCTGACGTCGACGTTGTAGTTAAATGCATCACACTTTTAGAAAAGGTCGAGTCAAAACAATATTCTGTCTAAACAATGAAGGCACACACACACACACACACACACACAACTGATGTGTGTGAGTGTGACGTCTTCCTCATTGTTCCTCACTGTCCAGAAAACAAAGTTGGCCACATGTTTGATCCCTCTGGGCGTCGTGGGCAGGGCTGGACAGTGAGAGCGTCCAGACCCGGCTCTGCCAAATGCTAAGGAAGGAAGAACCTCCCCACCCCACCCTCCAAACTCTGAGATCCATGCAGCAGGCTGTGGCGCTCTGGCTGCTCGCTCGGCCCACCCTGCCAGATGGAGGGCTAATCACAGGAACAGCATGCGGCTCCAACCCCTGAGTTAGCCCTGCCTGTCTGGACACAATGCAGGACGCTAAGCTCTCTGTCTCACTGTAACCGACTGTCTCTCTGCTGTTTGCTCGCTCCATCTGTCGTCCTCCTTCTCTGATCCTTTTTCAGAAGTTTGCCTCCAGTTTCCTGTCACTTTGTTGCTCAAAAATGAATTTAAAAAAAATCGGAGAAATCCAGCGAGAAATCCTTGAGTAACTCAGTGGGCAGCCAACAAGAGGAACAGTTTTTCATTCCCAGAGATGCAGTTATGTTTGGTCGTCAGCTGCAGAGAATCCTCCAGAGAGGCACAGTTGCAGGAGATAAGGGGGACTATTCGAGGTCGATGGTATTGAGCCCAGATTTCTGTCCCTGACGAGATTAGCCCGCAGAGAGAAACAGAGGCGTTAGGTAAGCCACAATTTGAAAAGAATTGCAGTTTATAGATTATCTGTAACCTTGTGTTCCCCAGAAAAAAACCCTCTTCCTTACACTTATCTGTCATTGACACAAACCCATCGTGTTGAGATTGTACGTATTCAGCTTCAACACAACATGACAGAGAGGTTTTTTTTTTTTTTATTGAGGTCCTGTATTTGTGGATGTTCAGGATTCTCTCAACGATCAAATTAAAAACCTTCATCTCATGGCCGCTTTGTAAGAACATTTGAGTAAAAACTGAAATAAAACAGCAAAATGATGGCCTGCCAAACTAAAAGACGGGTTTAAACGTTTGAATGATGGTCACACATCAGGCAGAGAGGGTTCAAATAAAATGCATCCTTTCTTTAGTCATAAGAGGATGAAGAGCGGCCGAAGGTTAAAAGCTCAAAAAGTTTTTAAAGATGGAAAAAAAACAAC